CTTTATGTTTTTTTTCGTAAATTTAAACACAGATGTTTTATTCGTCACTATTGTGTTGTCATTGTTGGCTTGTTATTATCTAAGGTATAACAAGTTATATGCAACATAAGCCACAGCCCCAAATTATCCTAGTATAAATTTGAGATACTGGAACTAATCACATGATCTAGAATCTTTAGAAACTTTTAAGAGAATTGTGACACTGGCTGCTGCATTAGTAGTCTCCTCGCAGCCATTCTTAGTGGCCCGCCACTAAGAACGGCTGCGAGGACACTACTGCATTAGTAGTAATTTAGTGTTTGTAAGTTATTAATGCACAGACACTGATTACATGTACACCACAAGTTTTTGTTCTACTAAGGAATAAATTACATACTTGTCATACCCCCTGAATGACATGCCAAATTTTAAAAAACAACGATATTTTCCACATTTGGCCGTAGTGTACCATGTGTACTCAAATGAGCAAGCCAAACATTTAAGTCCAATATTTTGACATGAAAACCAGAGTGGTTGAGACTGCATAAGTCATAAAGTCTTTAAACCACCCATTTGAGAGATCCCACTCCACTGATATGCCACAAACTTATTCAGTTGGTCTTGACAACTTAAGGGTTTCTTTGTCAAAACATTGGTATCAAATCTTTTGGCTCTATTTCTCTTTAAGTAATAATAAGCGAAGTTAGACAGCTTTGGATAAGCATAATGATTAATTTATCTGTTGAGTAAGATTTGCTTCCATCTAAAATGCATATATTCAATTCTAGCTGTATTTAAGAGATTAAATCATGAAAATGATAAAAATTACTGGAACAAAGTCACGGAATGAAAAATGATGAATTTTACATGTTGACAAAAGACGAGGACAGCTGCTCTCACAATCAATAATAGAAAATTCTAGTTAGACATATGGTTGAAAATAATTTAGCTTTAACTTAAGCTTAAATAAAGTCAAATAATTTGCCTGATATCTAGGCAGTAATTACGATTAATGCCTAAAAAGGATGTCAGTAACTTATTGAACAAAACAGAATTATTTCACAAAATTTAATCTTAAGTACACAGAAAATAAATGTACATCACGGTGATAAATTATTCAAGTAAATAACTCAGTGAACAACAATTAAAAGCGTTGATCAAAAACAAGCTCGTCTACACAGTAAGACGCTATAATCCATTAAACAGAACATTAATAATATGTGGCAAAATTTCTATATAAGCTTACTTTGCTATTAAGCCAGTTCAAAGTCCAAGTTCGAATTATCATCACTTTCTAAACTTCCCATTACTGCAGTAAGTTATAAGCTTATATCGAATGCAACATTCTCGTACCTTGAATAAACATGCGAAATGATAGGTGTAAAGTTTACCTTTGTGGTCGACCAATGTTTCATTGAGTACAAGTTTTTTTTTAGTTATTTTTGATGGGATATTACAGTAAGACGGTAAAATTTGGAATCCAAAGCAAGCTTACACTTGTGAACAAATTTACAAAACACAGCACTTTTTAGAATCTACAATTACACAACATTAACATTTCCAAAATACTGTACTAATCTACCTTGGATTACGATAAAGACAAAACCACATTAAGTTAGAATCACTCACAGAAACGTTTACGCCCGGGTTTACCTTCTCTGCCGATCTAAAAGTCAAATTCTAACTTCTTAATAAGAATTTACCTTTCGCGTAGAAATGAACACGAAGACTTCACAGCTTTGACAAACTCGCTATTTGAGTCAAACGTCTTAGGCATTAGGACTTTATCGGTGAGATTAAAAACCCGAACAACAAAACATAGCACAATCACYAACAATGCTATAATAGCTGGAAGACTGATCATTGAGATTGAATAATCAAGGAACACATCTAGACTACTTGTTGACATTGACACTGGATGGCCTTATTGGGAAACCAGCCATATGGAACGAAATCAGGGAGGGWCGTCTGTMCCGTCTCGAGCGTTCCCAGCAGGGTTTTGACGTAAAAAATGACTCATGAATAAATATAGACTTCTATAACACCTTGCTTTTCATCGATATTTTCTAGTGAATTATAATATTTAACGTTTCTGTTATCATCGTTTTTTTCCTGGTTTCTTTGACTCCACCTCAACAGAAGTAGATAAAATGACTCCCCCTGACTAGTGTCCAGTTTTCTTTTGTATTCTCACTGAGTTGTTCATTTGCTGATTTCGCCTCAGGCAGCCTAGCCCTGTAATTCTGTCATTTTCTGAATCGTATTGTTATCAGCGTTTGCAAAATGTTTTAAAAATCGAGAAAAGTAATCAAGAGACTTTGAAGAAGTCTAAAAARACATGTGCGCTCATTTGCTTGATTAGAGTATGTGTGTGGATTTCCTGTGGTACTTTGATATTGTGACAATAATTATCTAATTTTCATTGCTAATCTAGTTTGAATAAAAAACACAACTTGATTGAGCTCCTTGATTTCTACTTTACATGTAGAACATCACAGAATATTTGACTGTCAAATATTTGACTTACAAGTAGAGTGCTCACCCCTCACCAGCCCTTTTCCATTGCATGGGTGAATCCAGGGAGGGGATAAGGGAGGCTACAATGCTAACCACCTCCTTTAGAAATAGACATTATGAAATAGATGAATAAAAGAAGAATTTAAAACTGAATGGTACTAACTCTAAAAACAACGTGTAAAATGGCTTATCTGATAGAAATTTCATTTTCTGCATCCCTAAATATATTCATTAATATTTCTCTTCTAGAGCTCACCTCCCCCCTTTATAAAATTCTGGATCCATCACGGCATTGTTCAAAGGGCTAATAGTATCTTAACTTCTTACTCAAAAAGGCATTCATTAATCCAGCTCAGCATATTAATTTTGAATGCAATTACACTTTTGTTGCAGCCGTCCTAACCTGTGTTACATCCGATTCAAATAAAACCAGATGTAACGCAAGCTACAGCTGTTCATTTTGAAMATGTTTGCAGGCTCCATAGTCCAATGTAGAATTATACCAAAGTACACCACTAAAAGAAMAAAATCTTTTTTAAGTTTTACCTTATTTACAAGAGTTTATCAATCTTATACTACAGTAATGCCATTTTCACCAATATCACGTACTTATTTACATTTTTTTTCAACACTCCATAAACTCTCCTTCAATCCTTTTAGGGATTCCTAACCAGAAAGAATAGGCGATATACATTATGGCATCATTTACTACAACTACCAGTCAGATTGCTTTGCAACTTTCTTTTGTAATGCAATTAGTGCCAATTGTTTTACTGATCTCCAAGGGGATTAAAAATCTGAATAACAATGAAAATGCGCAAGGCTTTCTGGTAGTTGTAGTAAAGTTACGTCATAATGCAAACGGCCTATTGTCAGCAAGACAACAAAAAAGGTTTGAAGGAGTAGCTGTAAATTAGCTTGTTAGTTCAGAGATTAACATATAACTTAAGAAAATCAAATCTGCCTATAAGCATTTTGTACATTTGAAGTCTACTGGGCTAATGCATCAGTTCATTGATTTTAAGAAACATTTACATACTTATCAACCTGCAAATAGCAAAGACAATGCTCAAGGGAGGTTAAATTTTTTTACTATAGATTACCCAATAATTCACTATAAAAAACTTTCAGCCATCAGAAAAAACTCAATGTCCGTATTGGGCTGGTATGATTACAGATACTTCAAGCCCAAGGTTCAAAGTCCATTGATAAAGTTAATAAGTCCATTGGTTGAACAGTCGTGTGATGTAACTGGTTCTTGAGAACCTAACTCTGGCTGGATGACTTTTGCCAATTGCTTGCCAAGTTCAACTCCCCATTGGTCATAAGAATTGATGTCCCAAATTACACCTTGGGTGAATATCTTGTGTTCGTACATGGCTATCAAAAACCCTAAMGTGAATGGAGTCATCTTCTTAAAAAGRATAGAGTTGGTTGGTCTGTTGCCTTTAAACACCTTATGAGGAGCCAGATGGTTGAGCTCCTCCCCTGTGACACCAGCACTRATCAGTTCTTTYTTAGCTTCATCCAACGTCTTTCCYTTCATCAAGGCCTCTGTTTGCGCWAGGAAATTTGCCAGTAAAATCTGATGATGTAAACCTTTTGGTTTGCCAACTGGGTTGTGTGTCTCMACTGGTGCYAAGAAATCCCCRGGTATCAGTTTAGTGCCTTGATGAATCAGCTGATAGAATGCATGCTGCCCATTTGTGCCRGGTTCTCCCCACACAATTGGTCCTGTTGAATAGTCGACCTCTTCACCAGATCGAGWSACAAATTTACCRTTGGACTCCATRTCACCCTGTTGGAAATAGGCTGCAAAACGGTGCATGTATTGGTCATAGGGAAAGAGGCCATGGCTTTGAGCTCCAAAGAAATTATTGTACCAGATACCAAGAACGGCTAAGATTACTGGAACGTTTTGATTCAGRGSGGAGTTGTAAAAGTGATTGTCCATGGCATGTGCCCCTGACAACAATGCTTCAAAGTTATCCATACCAATATAAATGGCAATGGACATTCCAATGGCSGACCATAAGGAATAGCGTCCACCAACCCAATCCCAAAATGCAAACATGTTYCTCTTGTCRATTCCAAATGCTGTCACTTTTTCTTCATTTGTTGACAAAGCMACAAAATGTTTGGCAACAGCTTTGATATCTTTCAGTGCATCTAAAAGCCATRCTTTGGCAGTTGTAGCATTTGTAATTGTTTCAATAGTGGTAAAAGTCTTTGAAGCAATGATAAACAAGGTTGTCTCAGGGTTGAGTTTTACAAGTGTCTTGGCCAAATGAGTTCCATCAATGTTGGACACAAAATGGACTTGAAGATCTTTCTGTCCAAAAGGCTGAAGCGCTTCTGTAACCATCAGTGGCCCCAAGTCTGATCCGCCGATGCCAATGTTGACTACATCAGTGATGGGCTTACCAGTATGACCTTTCCAAACTTTATTTCTAACGCTCTCAGTAAATTCTCTCATGTGTTGCAGTACTCCATTGACGTCTCCCATCACATCCTTGCCATCGACTAAAATCGGTTGGTTGGAGCGATTACGCAAAGCAACATGAAGAACGGCTCTGTTCTCGGTAAAATTGATCTTCTCCCCTGAAAACATCTTTTTCCTCATCTCTTCAACACCTCTTGCTTTTGCCAGTTTGAGAAGAAGTTCCATGGTTTCTTCAGTGATGATATTCTTTGAATAGTCCACAAGAACCTTGCCATCTGGAGTGTCTAGTTTGATGCTGAATTTGTCAAAACGATTTTTRTCGCTTTCAAATAGCTCCCTCATCTGAAGAGAGGACCCCTTACTGTGGTARTGGCTTTGCAAAGCTAGCCATTCGTCACAACGGCCAAGAGAAGTCAGAGAATTCATGTCTGAGCAACGTAAGTTCGTTCGATCAACTTGACACACCCGGGATACCACATCGAACACAGGCATCCCAGCCTCATGAAAATACTGAAGGCTTGCTCCCAGTACTTCTCTGCTCGAAATCGAGTTCAGCAGATGATCCCACAGGTAGCCCAAGCTAGGCATTTGTGTACTTTTTAGAAATATTTAAAGTATAACAAAAATAAACATCTCCGGCTGTGTATTGAGTTTTTCTTTACATTTCTGTGAAGTTTCAGGCCATTTCCTTCAATTTTGGGTGATTTATGTCTGTTGTTCTCCAGCGTCTTCATATTTCTAAAATTGTGAAAAGAACACATTCAAAAGCCTAGCTTGGGCTACCTGTGATGATCCTCGTACTAGTCTACATGTATTTTGCTGAGACATAATAGCGATTTCACTTTAACGCAGAGTAACCATTTATTATTGTCTCACATTGTTTGAAATAAGAGGTGAGCACCGCTTCGACTTGTTCTAAGAAACCTTTTGCTCAGTTTGAATGTCCTCTCTTACAAGATGGCTACTGACTGGGTAGAATACAAGTGTAAGTCAGGACAGACTTTGTTTATTTACAACAAGGTGACAGGAGAACACAAATGGCCTACTGATGTAAGTTAACTGAATAAAAGCTGAACGTTTATACGTACTCAAATCCAAACGTACTGTATGGTCTTTACATGTTAATCGACACAAGTTTCCCTTCCGGGGGCCTGACTCGATCCCTTATAAACGTTTGGGTCCTCGACGGACGGATTGAAAAATGACCCTAAAAGGTACGCATAAATTAATTCAGGTATCAATTCCAGACCCTAAAAGCTACAACAATTTTGAAGAACTCAAGTTTTAAAAAAAGGTGCTTAAAAAGCGCTTGTGGTTACTCCAAAAACTGTTGTCATGAATATTTTTAGATGTTTGTAGTGTGTGCAAGAAAGACTATTTCAATAATTTAAGTAAAGACCCATTAGAAAAGTGATGGGGGGGTAGGGGCAAAAGCAAAAGCAAAAACAATATTTCAAATGAAAATTTTGGAAAAAAGTCTTCCTTGGCATTTTGAAGAAAAAAAAAATCTTGCCATGGAAAGGATTGTATGGTATGTATATCCAATAATCTATTAAAAAAATATATCCCCCCCCCCCTCCTCGCGCAGCTTGTTTCCTAACCGCGAAAAGGGTAATTCAAAAGTAAATCTAGCAAAGAATCAGGTAAACAAAGAGTGCGCTTGCGGGTTTTTTTATGTTTTCGTTTTTTTCCCATTTATTCCTCAATAGATTTATGAATCAATAAAATACAATAAAGTACAGAAAATAATTGCATAAATAAAGCATGCAAGAGGTGGGCTGCCAATATGGACTATTTTGATCCCGGGGGCACTCCCTAATAAAAAAGGGAGGGGTCCTCGTCGACTCTCTTAGGGTTTGAAAGCAGTGTTTTGATACCGCTTAGGGTCATAATGAYGAGAGTTTCGCGGTCCCTTTTGGCGGTATACGACGACCCTAAGCCGTCATTATAAGATCAACWACAACCAAGACTGCTAATTAGATTGATCTCAATACGAGCAAACGGCGTTTGRTACTTGTGCAAATAAACAAATATATTTTGKGAAATCAAAACAAAATGACCTGTTTTTGACTGGTTCCTCTTTTGGGTGAAATATCAGCACTGCCACGCCCATCATCTCACAAAAAAGCTTTGTTGTGTTATTTTACGAATCAGTGCACTCTTGAGCAAAAGTTTATGGTAACTCGCAAATACTATTTGATATCATTGAAATATTGGGAGTTAATGAGAGAACCTGACTTTTCTAGTATAAACAAAGAGTAATAACTTCAGAGTTATCTTACTGTGCTACTCATGCATTAGAATCCACTAGTACACATTTTCATTTCAGATTTCTTAAAACTTTGTTCGTTGTTATTAAAATAGTAACAAACGAAACTATTCCTTTACCCGACACATTGTTAGGTTTGGTTTTTAATAAACCACAAAATATTTTTTGTATCATTTAATATTGCAATATTTCACTCAAATGGAAACTCCACAAACAATAATTTGGAACACACGTAATGATGTACAAGCAACGCGAACGATTAAAATAAGTGAATAACAAGTTCAGATAGTTATATTAGTGTACTGTTTATGCATTAAAATGAGCTACTGCGCACTTTCATTTCTACTTTCTTTAAACTTTGACTACCGTACCAAACAATTCCTTTATACGACACCTTGTTTCCAAGATACTTTCCATTCAGATTAGAATAATGACAATGTTTATACCACCAGGCACCGGTATATGCTGAAGCACAGTTACGACCACTGTCCTTGTCGTTATCTCCATCTTTTGTACTAAACGCCATGTTGTTATGACCTGATAACGAGTCCCCAGCAGTACCAGCTGAATAAGAGCCAACCCTCAACCTGTACTTGTCTGATTCATCACCAACACTAAAATTATCATATTTGGCATACTTCCTAGTTCCGTCCCAGTCCTCTACCTCAACGCGCAGATTCGACGCTGTTCTTGCTGTCAGTCGATGGATGTAATCGTTTCCCAACCAAAACTCGCCATTAAGGTTTCCAAAACCTGTTTTGTATTGTTGCCAATTGCGATAAAAATCAACTGATCCATCTTGTCTTCGCTGGAACACAGTCCAACCCCCACCGTCAGTTATCATGTCACAGTAGACTTGAAATGCAGGCTGCTTGTCGGGTTGAATTGTGTACACACCGTTACGTCTCTCTCCTGATTTGTAAAGCTCAGCGCAATCTTTTGGGTAAGCCACTGTTAACACTGTCCTTGTTTCTGTATCAAACACTTTAGCATTCGTAGCGGTGCACACAAACACACCTGAATCTGTTTTCTTGACGTTCCTTATAATCAAAGAGCCATCTCTCACTTCATATCTACCAACTGGAAGAACTTCGTTGTCTTTTCTCCAACTGATGACAGGCTGAGGGTCACCTTTAGCGACACAGTTCAACACTACAGTTGTCTCTGGACTTGAACTGTGTGACGATGGAGGTTTGAGAACAAACACAGGCAGATCAACAACTATAACCATAATAGATCCTACAACAGATCCAAGAAGATTTTCAGCTTTACAAACATATATCCCTGAATCATCTTTTTTCGCTTTTAGTATAGTCAGCTGCCCATCTCTAACAACGGAACGATTAACAGGCAAAGAACCGATAGACTTAGACCACGTSACTTTTGGTTCAGGAATTCCAGTCACGTAACAAGTGGGTAGACGAATGTCATGACCAATCGTTTCGTAGGTTGTTCTTTTGTTCAAGGTCAGTAGGGGAGGGAAGTTCAMTTGGAGTTTCGCTGTTGTTTGTGTGCTGCCAAGAAGATTAGAAGCCTTACACTGATAGATTCCTGAGTCATTGGGAGTCACGTGTTTGATATCAAGTTTGCCAGTGCTATCAAYTACTGCTCGTTTGTGTGGTAATGTACCATTGTTTTTACTCCACACAACATCAGGTCGAGGATAACCACTAGACGAACAATGCAAGATGGCGGACTGGCTTTCATTGACGATGAGATGTGTTGGTGAAATGAGTACTGTTGGACGTGCTAAGGAAGGACCACGATCTCCCTTTGGTCCCTTTGGTCCAGGCATTCCTCTGGGACCAGGAAGTCCGATTTTTCCAGAAAAACCACGTGGTCCTCGTTTTCCTCGACGTCCAGATTTACCCGTGCGTCCYCTCGGTCCTCTTGGACCWGKTTTTCCTTGCGGACCGGGAGGTCCTGGAATAGGTATCCAAGATTTCCCAAATTTTCGGTCCAATAAATCAGTCAGTAACTTAATGGTGTTGTTGACTCCAGTTGTATCATGTCGTACTTTTCTTTTTAAAACTGCTTCATTCTGTTTTGAGTGATCTTCGCTGCTGAATTGATTTACGCCATCGTCCTTGTCGTGTTTTGAAGTCATCTTATCTACCAGCTTGATATCTCTTGAATACAGCTCGTTTAGCATCAATTCTGTTCTTAAAAACACACCACAGCACAACAGTAAACTGACGACTGAGAGAGTGATGGCAATCTTAGATACCAAGCAGGAATGACTGCTTTTATCTGCCATATTTTAGTAAATAGAACAGCATCAAAGCAAACAGGAAGACTGACGCAGTGAAAATGACTCGAAATCTTATACTTTCACTGTTAATCAGTCTTCATTCCTGTCTCAACATGTTCTGATATTTTATACGAGACTTGGTGACCTTATGCACTAGTCAATTGAAACCCCCGCCCCCCGACCCCCGGGGAATACCGGGAAATTTAACGTTTGAGTGGTGTTAAATAGAAACATTTTTCATAGTCGGGGGCACATTCATTGTTCAAATCCCCGCTACTGTTGCCCCGCTATTTTGGTCTAGTAGTAAATAACAAAACAAACACCTTTTAATCAAATATTCTGTGATACACAGGGTTTAGTTTTTGCACAATCCTTTCTACTCATTTGCATGCTACATGAGGCTAACTGGACGGAGRAAAACATGTGTAATTGAGTTTCTTTGCCTCATACATGTTCAAACGCGCGTTAAAATCCCCGCCCTTTGCCCCGCTTCGAAAACAATTCATCAAAATCCCGACCCCCCGGGGCAATCTGGCTGTTAAAGCCACGTTAAAAACGAATCACGTCCCGTTCAGTGCCCCGCTAGCCCCGGGGGTTGGGGGGCGGGGGTTTCAATTGACTAGTGCATTATGGATTTATCAAAGTCTAAGCATTGTGTACTCACTGTCTATAGTGCCCTACCTCAATGGACAACCGGCATTCATGATCAATGCGGTCGTGGTTTATATTTTTCATGGATGGAAAATGAGGGGAATACAAATA